TGTGTGATGACAGTATGTTGAATGAAAGAAGGAATATTTCTCATGTGTTTGGTGTTATGTTTCAGTTTTGTTGTGAATTTGTTGACCCTGCTTGTGTGGTTGATTTCTCATGGTAACTTTATACTGGCTCCAGCATTGTAAGTAAATGTATTTACATTATGTTTTTTTCCTAAATTCATTTACAGTTTTCTTGATTTGGATTTAACTTGTTAACTCTGCTAAAGCTTATTGGTTCATATTAAAACTCTTGTTAAGTAGTATAATCGAAATTTTTGCTTTTTCCAGTAAATTTTCAGTTTGTTAAATTTTGATTTTTCCTTGCAATGTTCTCCTTGACTGCATTTTTCCTGGGTGTCATATTGTGTAAAAGTGAGTCATGGATAGGCTAGTCTGTTAGCTAGTCCCCTTATTCCCCTGGGTTCTTCATGACCCCCCTAAAAGCTTGGATACTACAGCAAAGGGTCAGTGAAGGGCTGAGAATTTACCAAACTGTTATTTAGATACAAACCTTCTCTCTTGAATGATATGTGATACAGTGTACAAGAACCGATCTAATCTAATACTTCCAGATGTTTCTTCATCTTCTATTGCAACAAGGATTTCTTGAATTTCAGCCTCGCTGGGACAGCACCCTGGAAAAAAATCAATATAGGGATACATCTTTATTTGTATGAGGTTCTACTGAAGAAATTTGAACTCCCAGTGCATTAAAATTCATTAATGAATTTGCATCTCCTAAAATAATATTTTATTCAGTACTGAACATGTGAATCAAAACACAGTGAAAAGTTCCTAATTTAATACATTTGTATATGTACTGTGCCATAATTCAACCTCTAGCCGGTACATGGATTTGAAGGGATAACCCCAAATCCCAAAATGCACCAAAAATAACTAGATGGAAGCTCATTTTACAAACATAGTACTGTGACATACTCACTGATTACACAGTGAGTTCTTAATACAAGATCAACTTATTTTATGCTGTTATAACTGATTATTGCTGGATTAATATCTGATGCTTAACTAGTCAAGAGTACTGGTAATCTGAGTATAACTATTGTCTACCATGTCTTAGCTGTGGTTCTGCTCCTCTACACTCCACTGACTTCACACTTCTTACTGTATCACTTGTCACTTTAAAACTACCCTGCTCAGCCCTGCGAAACTTACAACTGTTTCAGTGTTGCATAGATACATGGAGTTCATTCTGGAACAATGACCAGGTTCTGTGACTGGAAGTAATGCAATTTCAAAGCTTGAGAAACTGGACAAAATGAATGAGAACATGCCAGTACATAGGCTGCCAACTGCTTGGCTACAGGAAGAGGGGAATTCTGGTATAATACTACAACATCAATGGTGTAGCAGCGGAGGGGGGCTTGCAACCCTGTTCCTTCTACGAGGCGCGTCCCAAAAGTAAGTTTCCCTGGGGCCGTTTACAGAAACAAAACACAATTTCATGGAAATATTTATTGCAACAGATACAGCAAGTGTCCAGCTATTTTTCAACATATTCGCCACCGGAATTGAGACATTGGTCATACCGTGGGACCAACTTTTGAATACCTGGGTCGTAGAAGTCTGCCGCCTGGGATTGGAACCACTGTGTGACAACCATCTCCGCCTCTCTGTCATTCTCAAAACGCTGACGCTGACCGGACAGGAATTTCTTGAGGGGTAGGAAAAGATGGAAATCACTGGGAGCGAGATCCGGGCTGTAGGGTGAATGATTAAACACCTCCCAGCTAAACTCCTGCAGGAGACTTGCTGTCCGTCGAGCCGGGTGCGGCCTAGCGTTATCACTGACCGCACTTCACAGGCGGCGGGGGCTGCTTTTTGTGTGGACCCTCGGTATCGCACCAGTCTGAACAGGTGTACCACCATCATATATATCCTCTCCCCTTAAGTGCGTACATGGCATATAGTGGGACAGCTTTATTTTTTTTTTACTTTATTCTATCTTCAATCTCTACATAGCTCTCTGTAGGGCTCCCTTAATATGGAAGAAAATAACTCGGTGAAAACAAGTTTTTAGGATTCTTATATAGAAACTTGTGAGTGAAATGGTGGTTTAGAGTATCTGATTCTCTCTAACACAGCTGTCAAAATTCAGAATCCATTTTCTATTACACACTACTGTGAGACCAGCTTTTCTGCAGTGGTCATAATTAAAAACAACAAGGAATATACTGGGTCCTCTTTTGTTTTTTTTTCTTACAATGGGGTGAGACTACATCTCTGCAGAACCATCTCTAATAATGGGCCAGTTGTCCATCCCCCAAATCATACATGAGTGAATATGGAACATCAGTGGAATTATGTTGACAAGAAACACCACTTTGTCGACTACAAATTGTTGGCCAAGACTGGATTGTAATCATGTCTTCAGATGTGCAGTTGCTTTAATAAGACTGATATGTAAGCTAGTCAGTCAGAAGCAGTATCAGTTATAAACGGAGAATATATTTGTGATATCAGTCCATAACTCCATGCCAACAATAAGCCACTTCATTCATTCAGGCCTTTTTGTAAACTTCATTCCTATTATTTTTCATGTGTAATGCTTTCAACTAAAAAATAACTTACCAAGAGACCTTATAATCGTTCCAACTTCTCGAACGTCAACTGTGTTGCTGCTTGCATGATCAAAAACCACAAAAGCTTCTATAATCTTTTTGTCTAGATCAGTTATGGCCTCTGTAAAATAACATGAGACAGATTCAAGATCAACTTATATAAATGGTAATTAACATCTTCTGCACTATACATCAAGGAATCATCACCATTATTATATGTATTTATAATAACTAAAAATTATTGTTTAAAGTAAATTCTACCGTGTAGAAGGAGTGAGATAAGAGTTACTCCTTTAGTGCTGGCTTAAATACTTCTGTGTCATGATTTAAACTCTTTATAGTAGGAGGAAGATTATTGAATAATAATTCCAGTGTAGTTATCTCCTCCTTCATATTTGCTGAGGTTAGTTTTTGGCACATGAAGGTTATGTTTGCATCTTGTGTACGTCTACATTTGTTTGAAATTCTTCCTTGTTGTCCACAACAAATGATAATTTTCTGGGTAGGAGGAAAATATTAAACTTCAATAATAACCTGTAAGAGACTCCTTTTAATGCCCATCATTGTTGTAATGATTTTTTTGGACATAAAACCCTTTATTCTGCCTGTTGAATTTTCCCAGAATATTATTCGATATGACATAATGGAATGGAAGTAAGTAAAGAAGATTAATTTTATAGTTTCAATTTTCATGATTAGCACTAATGTCCTCACAGTGCAACATCCTGAACTTACTTTAGGGACAGTATATTCAATATGTTTTTTCCAATTTAAGTTATTGTTAATGTGTATGCCAATAAATTGAGTTGGTTTTACTTCTTCAGTTATTTTTGTAATATACTCTATTTTAAGATTAACACAAGTTTTGTTGGGAGTATAAAATTTCATGAAGTTTGTTTTGTCAGATTTTAAAGTGAGTTTATTGGCTTTACACCATTTGTTTGAGCAAATAAAGACATCATTCATGCAAGTTTGAAAGTAGTTAACTCTTGGATGTGAAATAATAATACTAGTGTCATCAGCAAAGAGCATAGGTTTAACTGAGAGTTGATGATTCCAGGCAGATCATTGACATATATGAGGAAAAGGAGAGGACCAATTATTGAACCTTGAGACTACATTTTATAACATCACAGTTTGAGTAGGTGCTATTGTAGGAATCTGCTCATTTTATTTCTATATGCTGTTTCCTGTATTGAAGGTATGATTTAAACCTCTGTCCAGCTATACCTTGAATTTCATAAAACTTTTATCAGTAATAATTCATTATTTATACAATCAAATAGTTCAGTAAGATCAGAAGATATTCTGCCAACATGTTATTATGAGCACATAATATTTAGTTTGCATAATCGAATGGGGCTTTATCTGTCGAGAGGTTTTCTTATAAAATCAAAAATTTTCATCTGAAAAGATGATTGAGTTTAAGAAATCACTTTCTGTTTATATATATATATATATATATTTGTAATGAAATTGGTTGTTTAAGTTATTCCGCTTTTTTATACAGAGGTCTCACTTTTGAGTATTTAAGGCAGAAACGTGTAAGCAATTTTATTTCCATGTTTGAACATATGCTACAACAACACAATATATTAAAATATGACGAACGTACCTTCCTCGACCATTTTTAAACAACATTGTTGCCAAGGTAACCGCGGTAAATATATAATCACTAATTGTAGCAGAATACGTTCATCATTAACCAATAAGAGTACTGCTTTCAGTCGACATAGTGTTGTAAACGAGTGATTCATTGGTAGCCATAAAGGCGTCCAGTGTAGTATTCGTGCATTGAACCAATACTAAGTTATCTTATAAAATAAATTTACGGACTTCACGTACGCCATCTCAATCCAGACAAAAAGCAGAAAATAAGTGCGAAGTTAGTGTTATAGAGTTGTTGACAAGTCTGTAATTCCGTTTGAAACAACAGCCAGTAAGAATGAGTGCTAGCATGGATCCATCAAAATTGAAAGTTGTAGAGCTTCGTGCAGAATTATCGTCTCGTGGTTTGGATACCAAAGGAGTCAAAGCCACTCTAATTGACAGACTGAAGGAAGCTTTGGATCGAGAAGCAGGTTAGTAATTTTAAGTTCATAATAATTTTGCATTCGTGTTTTCACGTAAGTATGCGGTTTTGATTGTGGTTGAGGATCGTATTTATTGAGTTTACAACGAATGAACAAGTGTGTACCTTGATTGCCATTTTTGTGGTAATCGTTGGTTAGGCATGTAGAATCAATTGGAGTTACTGTTGTATGCCGTCGGAATTTCATTCATGGATGTAAGTAAAAAATATCGTAGTTTGGCCATTTACGTAGACTGCGCCCGGATTCTGAACATAATTTTAAACATTTCAGTCTAATTTCTCAGAATGATTTCTCTCGAAAAAAATGTCCGTTGTTTGCCCTACTACATGGGAAGCGTCGCCGACTTCTGTGCCGTACGTGTGGCTAGGACCTGCTACATCACTTTCTTTATAGAGTGCCTCAGATATTTTGAGAACGTATGTGGGATTGTTAGTGGACAGGCCCCAAACCAAACTGCACACTAAGTAAAATACCATTGGCGTTTAAATTGTTATGATATTTTTTTTTGAAAATCCAATTGAAAAGGAAGTTGGCCAATAGGTTGATACATTTGACTCGTCCGTTTTCTTGTATATGGGTTTTTATCACTGACTGTTTGTATCTTGGAACACTCCTGCGGTAAGTGAATGGTACATACCCAGCTATTTAAGAGACTAAATAACATTATTAATTTTTAGTAGTTTGTTTGGGCATGTTATGTTTGCAAATATCCTTGGAAGTGATGTTACTGTAATGAAGCACTTGTGTCAACTGAGAGGTATCTTTAGTCACCATGAGCAGATAGTGTTGACTGCATAAATAATTGTAGAGAAACTTTCATTACTGTACGACATTTTCCCTTCAAGTAAAGAATAGAATTTATTTACATTCCATAGATCCTTCATAGGCCTAAGCCAGGGATGTAGAACAGGTGATAGCACAGGTACAATACTTGTTTCTAGTAGAAATATAAATACAAAGATATAACAGCTATTTACACATTTTTGTAACTACAGTATTACAGCAAAATAATCATGATGAGAAACCATCACCATTGTTACATGTATTTATAAATTCTTCTACTGAATGGAAGAAGTGTGATAGGAGATACTCTTTCAACGCTGGCTTAAACATGTTTATATCATGATTTAAACTTTTGATAGTAGGTGTAAGATTATTGAATAACTTATTTCCAGTATAGTAAACTCCTTTTTGATATGTACTGAGGTTAGAATTTGGCACATGAAGGTTGCATCTGTATCTTGTTCTTATATTGTGGATATCTGAAATTGTTAAAAAAATCTCTATGTTATCCACTACGAGTGATAATAGTGAGAGCAAGAATTCACTGGATAGTGGAAGAATATTAAACTTCTTAAGTAATGCCCTACAAGAGGCTCTCCTTTTAGTGCATGCCATTATTCTAATGATCTTCTTTTGAATGTAAAATAATCTTTTCCTGCCCATTGAATTTTCCCAGAAAATGATTCCATATGACATGATGGATTGGAAGTAAGCAAAATAAACTAATTTTAAATTTTCTGTTTTCATAAGTGCTGCAACTGCCCTCTTAGCAAAACATGCCAGGCTTAGTTTAGGGATAATGTATTGACTATGTGTTTTCTACTAAAGACATGAAGTTGGCCACTTACCTCTGTTTATTGTGAAGGTTAAGAAAGAGTGGAGCTATACCT